CCCCTTTTAGGTTATTTTAGGGTTAGGAACTCCGTAGACATATCAACGTGTACGTTACAGTGGAGCTTAACATCCCGAGACTGACCTCATCCCACAGCAACTACATCCCTCTTGTGAATCTCCTTGGTATATGGTTCCAGATTCATGACGACTACTGCAACTTGCGTTCACGAGAGGTGTGTTGCGCGACCTGTCCTTAAATCATCGCTAATTTTTGCACCTCTTCAGTACGCCATGAACAAGGGATACGCAGAAGACCTCACCGAGGGCAAATTCTCTTTCCCTATCGTGCATGGTGTGAACGCCAATCGCAAAGACCATTCGCTGCTGAGTACGCACCCCTCGCTTCTTCACCTTAATCACGACTGATGTGCGCCCATCCAGACATTTTGCAGAAGCGGCCCTCCACGCCAACGCTCAAGAACCACGCGATTTCTTACCTCGAGAACCACACCGGATCGTTTGAGTACACCTGCACCGTTCTCTTCAAGATTGAAAAGCAAGTTCGCGACGAGCTCACGCGTCTCGGAGAAAACAAGGGTCTGGAGGCGATTGTGAATCTGCTAGCCAAGGCAGATTGAGCACTCGTACTAGCCGGGTTTTGTGTTTTGTAAGCGGAAATGGACCGAGCAACATTGGATTTGTGCAATGATCATGAGGATATGTACGCTGCAGATGTTATTTAAAAGAGATTATAGAAAAGGCGAAGGTGGTAAGACTGGTCTTAGTGTCAAACACTATCCGTAAGAGGGGGCAGGGCTCCAATAAGCCTCACCAATCTCTGCTGCAGGATGAGTGTGTCCCAGCGATCTGTTATTTCTCGCACAGGAATGTGCCAGTGCCAGACTATTGCGAAACAGGCAGATTTCAGGAGTATAAATTCCTAGCCTTACTCACCATCTCAGTAGCATTCCCCCGTACCCACAGCCTACAGGTAAGTACGGATGCTCGTTACTAGAGCCTGCAGCGCTCGTCGTACTGACCGTGAGTGACAGTGGAGACTAGAGAGTGACTCGTCATACCACGAACTGTCCAATGTCACGCCCACTCCTCGCAACTCCACTGCAGCAGCTCAAACCATTTCGTATTATATTTCGCATTCCTCTCCTGTTCCTTCCCCAGCTTATCGACACGGCATTCCCTGCGCCTCTGTCGATAGAGCACAAGCCCGACATCAGAGCGAGATTGGTCCTGCCGCCGCCGCTCCCCACGCCAGTGTTATTCTCCGGGCCCGCGCGGCCTTCCAAAGACCTGCTCGAGCGCATCAGATCGCAGAAGCTGCATCACTGCGGAGCGCACAGCAAGATCACCAGAGTCACGCAACGCGTCCCCACCCTGCCCAATCCACAGGTGTTTGAAGGGCGCTTGAGGCGCCGGAGGATTGTGTGGCGCATCTGAGGTGTGCCAAGGGGACAGGTGTGGCTGCTGCGAGAATTTGTTGGATTGTAGAAGGGCGATTTGGTAGGTACAAATAAAGCGATGCGTGAAGAGCGAAGATGGGGATGCTATTTGACAGTGGGTATATATGACGGTGTACGCCACGTACCTCCAGAGAACAACCCTTGCGTTGTTGCGCAGAGCAGCGGATAACACCCGAAATACAGATGTCGTTGAAATGGTGGAAAATCAGTGGTTTCGGCTCATAAGAACCGTCCACAATGTGCAACCTCAAAAGACGATCATCCCTTGAGCATTACGTTGCTAGCGATGAAGGACGGTTGTTGAATGTAGCAGAGGCGTGAGGGCAGTAGTGAAAAAATTATGCCCGTGCCTACGCGGACAGGCTATTAGCCGAGAGTAATATAGAAACTCCTTGCCCATGATGCATGACTTCTAAGCAGATTTGAGAGGGAAATGGACTCGGTAAAGGTTGCTGTCTTGAGCACTCGTAGAAGTCAAAGTTCAGTGTTGAGCGCACCATTCCACAAGTGTTCCGTCATGTTCCACATATATGTTTTTCGCGTGCATTGTTATCAACGAACAAATGCCCACTGCATGGTGACTGTGACATAGCAGCTCTCCATGCGCGGAAAGGCCGCTCAAGCATTACAGGCAGACAAGACCATCGGAAAATAGGGTGCGATTACGCACCGAGGAATGAGCCACATCAGCAAATGGATACATCTGAAACAATTCAGACACCTGAACAGTCCTAACTTGGGAATTTGCACCAGTGAGCCCAGCCACTTGGGCCGCTCTTTTGGTGTGGGGGCTGAGAGGATATAAATTGATGGCACTTACCAATGTGAAAGCCATTCTTGACAAAGCCGTGAGCTGTCTAAAATTCATTCAGGTTGTTAAGCAAATTCGCCTGAACCTAGGTACTTAGATCCAGGTGCGTTATAGGTCCGATCACTGCAGGTCCGAGAGATGCAATAGCAGACCGATTCCGTTTGTAATAGCCACTGTGCCTTCTCCAAGCACGCACGAGCCAGAGATGAGGGAGAAGAATGAATATGGTGAATGTGGACGTCAATGTACACGGATAATCGCAGAACGATTCGGTGGGGAGATACTGCTTACAGAACCATATATCACGGCCTGACCCAAAACAAACTCCTCGTCTCTGGTGACCACTATACTATGAAGGTATTACCCGTACATCCACGTTCGCATGTGACAGAAGGGGTGCGTTGTCTGATTCGGATGTGGCGTGGCTGAATTGTGTCGTCCATTTACGACCAGACACAGAGTAGTCGGAGGGGTAGACAAAGCGAAGAGGTAGCATGTATTGAGACCAGCCAAAAATAGGCAACAGGGCGCACAGGGCTGAAAGGGTAGCCGGGCTAGGTGAAGCGGCGTGCTGCCGCAGGGAATTCTGTTTGTGCGACATGGATGAAGGCGTTATGAATCATTACTATAAAGCTAGCCGGCTCTTATAAGCCGATAATACAATAGTGGTGTTGGCAGGTTGTGCCTTCCCACTCGTCTGCTGCCCTCCGCCGCATGGCATCTGTGCCAGCGACTCTCATATCTCCAGCAGGTCAGTCACAATAGTAACGGAGCCCCACTTGAAGGAGAGCCAGAAGGAGGAGTACTTGCGAAGGGAAACGGTGAGCACGCACCACAGACGGCCACACGCGCGATGGCTGAGCGGTGTCAATGGGTAGGTGGCGGTCACATTACACTCACATTCATGGCAAAAAAGCGAGCCGGGGAAAAGCAGTATGTGTTCTCTCCTGGGCCTGCTCGCAGCGTGACAAATCGCGGCCCGACCAATAGCAAACTCTTCGTCTTGGGCGAACACTATACTGCGGAGGTATTACCTGTACAACCACATTCGCATATGATCGAAGAAAGGAATGCGTTGTCTGATTTTGAGTCGGTGTGGCTGAATACTACCAGACGTAGAGTAGTTGGAGGAATGGACAAGGCGAAGTAGCAGGGATCTAGCCAAATTAATATGTATGTACATATAGGCAACAGGGGGTACAGAGCCGAAAGGGAAGCTGGGCTAGGTGAATACCATATAGGGTCAAAGCTTCAAATGCCCAATTGCTGTGTGTAGACAGGATCAGCGTTCCACGAAGAGACTCTAGTGCGGGTAGCGCTCCTGGGACCAGTGTGCGAGATTGGTACCGATATACCACAGATATTGTCGAGCAAAGACCGGGAAAAGTGCACCAAACCAAGGGAGGTTGTGGGAGACAGAAAATTGGATGAAGATGGGTAGAATTATGAGCGAGCGAGAAACAGCACGGCGTGCCGTGCGCGGGAAAATACTCAGAATGGAGGAGGAGGATATATTGGCAAAGGCTCGGAAGCGCTCCGGATCCCACCTTGGCTTTGAATCCGTGTTTAATTGCTTCTTCAGTCGCCCTCATACTGCTTTTTGTTTCGCTCGTCGCAACCGCTGTGTCCAGTGATGCTGTCTTCGACTCCAACGGTCGTATGACAGAGATGAAGCATATCATGTATACGCGGTGATGATGAGGCTCCCATAGCATCCAACTACGGAAAGGACTCCTGCGTAGGAAGTGATGACTAGTACGCCCCGTCCTCACGTCGTGACTCGGTGCTCCGTATTGACATCTCACTTGAATCAAGGGGCAATCCATACTTGACGTAGACATTCGGACTCGCGCTTCGCGCCCTATACAAAGCTGGTCAGCACATGCTGGGCTGTAGGTAAGTGGGTTCGATCAATACTGTTGCTGACTGTGTGCCAGTTAGGATCACCACACGACTCACAATATATTGAATCGCAAGTACGTTGCTGCCATGCACAGATGCATCAGTGTTCACAGAGAAGCTGTTAGGAAGATGGTACTTTCAATGTTAGGGTATATGTTCTGCGCAAGGATCGCTAATTCCTGCGGGCCAGACCTACTGAATACCAACTCTCTCCTGCGCCTCTCCGCCCCGGCTTTCCCTCTTGGCTGCTTAACTAGATTTGGCATCTGTATGTATGGTTTGACAGGTGTCGAAAGCTGCACACGTGGTCAGAGGCGCGGCAACAGGTGCGGTGCATGTCCTCGTCTGCACGTTCGCTGTTCTGCTAAGGACCAAAAATCAGGCTCTGAGATATGAGCTGTGCCCAAGACTGGAGAAAGGCTGGCCTTGATTCTCCATTGCGCACGTACGCGTATCTGCTTTTAATTGTGATATATGAAGTCCAACGCGATAGAGTTCAAAAGAAGACCACGAGTCGTCCGGCGCGCTTGGCGTGGGCTACATAGTTTCGAGGCTGTGTGAGGCTGGCTGTCAAGGTATCGTCCTGATACTTGACTCTACCTCTAACCCTAACCCCTAGACACTCACTTGTG